CTAGAAAAAAAAATACCACCTCAGGCATAGAAACACAACTAAAATTGAGAGCTTTCAGAGTGGATCTTTAATCTTTAGTAAAACAACCCTTCAGAGACAAAAGTTATGATTGACTCAAACTACACTACCAAGCAGAATATTAAACCAATAATGAAAGAGTCTAAATGGCTGCTTTTTACCTTTTGGGAAGACAGAAAAAAAAAATGAAAGTATTCTAACTATATTTTTAGACCTTTCTTCCAATAAATGACTCAAATCAAAAAGTTTTAAAATCTCAGCGTCCAAAAGATCTTTCACCTTGGAGACAGATAGAGGCAGACAGGTAATGGTCTAAAAGAAATCTCAGCCCCAAGGCAAAGAGACCTCTGGGACATTTTAGTTTCTTTATGTAGTTACCTCAATAACTTTCCTCTATTGCAGTGCTGGCTAGGTTCTATTTAACCCCATTCTGACAACATGTACCCCCAGGGGTTGATAACATACTCATAGATTGAAGTCTGTACTGATTGCCTTTCATTAGAAGTCAATGTTTGATTTAAGCATAACATTACATCTCTTTAATCTAGTTTATAGCTCTAAATAAGTCCTCTAAAGACCTCCATGTACTTACCAGGATCATCTGAAAACTTTCTTAGGTCTTGTTTGATCTTTCTTAGGTCACTGAGAGGAAGGGACATATGAACATAGGTGGTCTCACATAGCTCACCATTATATATTGTGAACATAAGCATGATTTAAGGCAAAGAAAGTCTGAACATAAGGCAATGTTGACCACATTCCCTCTTTTTACACTGTGATCCTAGTTGCAAAATATCATAATAATAAAAATTTCTCTCTGCATTCCACTTTGGTTTCTGGGATTAGGCAGGCCATGTGCAAGTGCAGAAAAATATTAAACTGCTCTTTTTCAACACTGAGGTTCATTTTTAGTGAAATGCCAAAGGAATAAGAGATTTTGACATCAAGTATCCCATTTGAAACAAGAGAAAGAAACTAGCATCCATTTTAATTTCTTTTTAAAGAGAAAAAAATCAAAACAAGATAATAGAATAACAATGGTTAATACATTGCATATTGCTATTTTTCAGTTACTCAGAGTACAAGATATTTGTGTTTAATTGGCCAAACGATATTACCACAAATCTTCCTTTTCAATGAACTAAGAGAAATTAGTAGTATAACTATCTTAACTATCACAGACATTTTTCTTCCTTCTTTTCTACATTACCTCATCCAAGTTTTTCTTTGAACGTTTCTTCTCATTTACAATATCTATTGTTCATTCAGAATCTTATTTACTCTCAGCTTCTCACACTAGAAGTCAATACAATGTTTACATGTTATTCGGTTTATTTCACTTATACTATGGTCTTGAGTTTCATCCATTTACCTATAAAAGTCTCTAGCTTATCATTCTTTATCACTGAATATTATTCTATTGCATAAAAACACTACTTTTTTATCCACTCCTCAGTTGATGGGCATTTTAGTTAGTTTCCACGCTTTAGATATGACTGATTGTGCCACTAGAAACATCCAGGCACATATGTCACGGTGTTATGTTTTAAATTCCTCTGGGAAGATTCCCAGAAAGGGAATAATTGGTTCAAATGGGACCTCCTATCCTAGGTTTTTGAAGAATCTCCACATTGATTCCCAGTCTTCACTCCCACTGACAGTGGAGAAGTATTCCTTTTCTGCTACAATCCCATCAGCATTTATTGTTGATTTCTTGATAATACCCAGTCTTTCCAGGGTGAGATGGAATCTCAGTATTGTTTGAATTTGCATCTCTAGGATGACCAGTGATATTGAATATTTTTTCATACATATATTTGCTGTTTGCATTTCATCTGAGAAGTGTGTGCTCATCTCAGATGCCCATTTTTGGATTGGGTGGGTCTTCAAATTTGGGAGGTCTGATTTTTCTTTTTTTTTAGTTCTTCATATGCTCTTCTTAGTAATCTTTTGAGGAACAGCTGGCAAACATTTTTTCCCACATTATGGGTTTTTTCTTTACTTTATTGGTGGTTTCTCTTGCTGTAAAAACATTTTTAATAAGATCCCAGTGTTTTCTTTTTTTCATTCATAAAGTCTTTGCCTACACCAGTGTCAAGAATTTTACCTATCCTATCTTCTGGCAGATTTATTTATTTTTTTAAAAAAATATTTATTTATTTATTTTGTGTCGGTGTGTGGCCAGCTCAGCCCACCAGGGGGCAGGGCTGGCTGGCATGTGGTGCCAGGGGATTGAACCGCGGTCCCTGTGTTTTGCTAAGTTTGTTCTAAGTAGGTGCTTTAGACCACTGAGCCATCTCACCAGCCCCTTCTGGCAGATTTAATGTTTCTGTTTTAATGCTTAAATCTTTGAGCCATCTTAAATGTAGTTTGGTGCATGGTGAAAGCTATGGGTCCAATTTTAATTTGTATGTGCAGAGCCAGTTTTTACAGCATCATTTATTAAAGAGGCTATCTTTCTGCCAGTGAATGTGTTTGGCCCGTTTGTTAAAGATACAGTGGCTGAGTAAGTCTGAAGTTGTTTCTTCATCCTCTAATGTGCTCTATTGATCTTCAGATAGTTTTTAACTTTTGCCAGCACTATGCTGTTATTTTTTAATATGGAGTGCTTCATGAATTTGCATGTCATCCTTGTGCAGGGGCCATGATAATCTTCTATCATTCCAAATTTAGCATATGTGCTGCTAACATGAGTACCTATGCTGTTTTTATCACAGCAGCTTTATCATACAATTTCAAGTAAGGGATTGTGATTCTTCCTGCCTTGGCTTTGCTGTCAAGCATTGCCTTTGTTATTCTAGGTCTCTTCTGGTTCCAAATGAATTTTAGGATTGTTTTCTCTAATTCTGTGACATACACTATTTGGAATTATGGCCATTTTCACGATATTGGTTCTTCCTATCCACAAACAAGGGCTTTCTTCCATTTTCTGATATCTGCTTCAATCTGTTTTCAAAATAGTATAGTTTTCAAGATAAAAGTCTTTTACATCATTGATCCTAGGTCTTTTGGGGTTGTTTTGTTTTGTTTTGCTTTTTGTTTTTGGATGCTGTTGTGAAAGGTGTTGCTTCCCTAATTTCTCTCTCAGTAAGTTTTTTTTGTACAGGAATGTTATTGATTTCTGAGTACTGACTTCATATCCAGCTATGCTACTGAATTGGCCTATTAAATCTAGCTGTTTCTTAGTGGAGTTTTTGGTGTCTTCAATGTAGAGGATCATGTCATCTGTAAATAATGACAATTTAACCCCTTATTTTCCTATCATTATTCTGGTTATTCCTTTCACTTGTCTAATTGCTCTGTCTAAAGTTTCCAGAACTATGTTGAATGAGAGTGCAGACAGTGGACATTTTTGTCTTGTTCTCCTCATTTCAGAGAAAAAGCTTTTGTTTTTGTCCATTTAGTATGAAGTTGGCTATTGATTTGTTGCAGGTGCCTTTTATCAGATTGAAATAAAATAATCTGTTCTAATTTTCTATG